CAGGAAGTTCCAGCTGAACACGAGGAAGAACTTCTTCCCTCTGAGGGTGACGGAGCCCTGGCCCAGGCTGCCCAGGGAGGCTGTGGAGTCTCCTTCTCTGGAGATATTCCAGCCCCGCCTGGACAAGGTCCTGTGCAGCCTGCTCTGGGTGACCCTGCTTGGGCAGGGGGTTGGACTAGATGACCCACAGAGGTCCCTTCCAACCCCTACTATTCTGTGATTCTGTGATTCTGTGATACGTCAGGGCGTGCATTTGATGCATCTCCGCCGTCGGTCCGAGGCCAAGTCGGGTCAAACAGCAGTGACACGCGGTGGGAAGCATCCCGTGAGCGTGTCCCGCAGCGTCTTCATTTCAAACAGCCCAGGCGCCCAGAACTGTGTCGCACGCCAGCGGCTGTGGTAGTCAGCAGGGCTGCGGAGCACAGGCCGCCAGCGTCTTGGTAGATCAAAGCTGCTGCTCTTTCCTAACCCTTTCACAGGAAGACGAAGACACCAGGTCCAGATGTTGCCAGCCAGTGGGGCTTTAAATCTACGTCCAAAATGGAATGTTTTCCAAAAAGTGGGGCATGTGGGTTTGATAACAGTATCCGGGACCGCAGGGAGAGAACTCCGAGCTGCAGGCTGGGATTGGGGTGGGGGACAGGGCCGCTGCGTCCCGCTGGGTCCCACCGCTGGGGACTGCTGCGGCAGTGGGGCTCATGGATGAGCAGCAGCAGCCCTTGGAAAGCCGAACGGGCCGTGGCCTCGGCGGTGACTTGCCTCTAATTCCTTCAGCTGCAGGATGCCTTGAAGTGTCAGCACTGCAAAAAGCAATTCAAGTCCAAAGCTGGGCTGAATTACCACACCATGGCTGAACACGTCAGCAAGGTAAGGGAGTTGGGGTGCTCTCGTCTCGCGCCTCGTTTCGTGGCTTTGTCTTTGCAAACGAGGGATTCACAACACCGTCTTCGCAGCCTCTCGCACGTTGCTCGGCCCAGACGGTGGCCTTCCCCCTTCCCTGCCGAGCAGAGCCGTTCCTTCCCAGGCAGCTGGTTCAGCTCACGTTGATCCCGGGGGGCAGAGCAGAGGGCTGGAAAAATAAAATGGGAGTTCAGATCTCAGAACGGGGGAAGATTCAGTGAGTACGGTGAGGCAGATGTGGAGTGGCAAAGTTCTGCCTCCAAAACTGTGCCTGCAAGTCCAGGACTGATGGGTTCTGCCTTGCACGAATCTCAAAATCCAGTCTTTAGCTCTCCGTCATGCATGTGAGAAGTAGCTACAAAAGTTACGGTGAGCGATACCTGGCAGGCACCAGTTCAGATGCTGTTCTTAAACATCCAGTCGCACACGTCTCCGAGATACCAGGGCAAGGCATAACTGCATTTCTGCATGGCCTGTGCTTACCAGTTGTGACTTGTCTTTTGCCTGTGCGTTAATCTCCTGCTCTTCGGTCTGGCTGGTGAACCCTCCGTGCAGGAGCTGCTCCTGGGCCGCTTTGGGTGCGAACTCGCCATGAGCAGATCCGGCACCTCACGGCAAAGGCGTTGGCGAGTGGTGAAGCGGTGGGAGATGCAGCTCTCCAGTCGCCCGGCCAAGGGCAGCTCCTGCAAGGCAGAGGTTTGCCACCCACTCCTGGCACAGAGGGCACGAGTAAATGGTTGACTCCGTTGCTTCTGTTGCTTCCTTGTTTCCAGCCCGTTCCCGTGGAAACCGCTGGACTTGGTGAACAGGAAGAGC